CCCCCCCTCCCCCCACAGCCCTACTGCTTCCTTTCTCTCTCGGATACGGCCTTCGTGGCGCGGTGGTCTCCCAACCGGCCGGGGCGCCTGCTGGCTGTCGGCAGCGCCGACGGGCGGGTGTCCCTCTTTGAGATTGACCCGGCGCTGGTCCGGCCAGCGGCCCCGGAGGCCGGGTCCTTCGCGGCGGATGTCGACCTGTCGGCCCTCAACGACCTGGTCCCCACGACGTCCATCCAGTTGCAGATGCAGGCGGTGACCGTGGCCCCGGGTGGCGGGGTGGCCGCCGGGGCGGTCGAGCCCGGCACCACCGGGTCGGCCCTTCTGACCGAGCCGGTGAACATCCTCCGCTGGCATCCGGACGGGCACCACCTCCTGGCGGCCACGCTGTCGGGCAGCGTGTGGCTGATCGAGCTTTCCTCGGTATGTGCTTGGTTCTTGTTGCGCCTTCCTCCGCTGCTTTCGCCTGCTGCGCCTTGCGCGTGCCTTTCCTTGCGCCGCATTCGCCCTGTGTCCCGGCCCCTCGACCTGTGGCTGACGTGTGTGTGTGTGTGTCTCTCTCTCCCTCTCTCTGCCCCCTCCGTGCAGTCGCTGAGCAAGGCTTCGGGCTGAGTGGGTGGGTGACAATGGGCGTGGTCCTGCCATGTTCTCCCGTCCTTTCACGGGCGCGAGGGCCTCTCTCTTTCTCCCTCTCTCCCTCTCTCCCTCTCTCTCGCTCTCCCTCTCTCTCGCTCTCCCTCTCTCTTTCTCTCTCTCTCCTCCTCCTTCCATCCCACCCCCGCTTCCTCGCCTCCCTGTGTGCCTTGTGGATTCATGTCGCCTCGCTCGCTTGGTGTCGCCTCCCCCCCTCCCCCCCCCGCGCGCGCGCGCGCGCCACTTTGATGTTGCCCCCTCCCCCTCCCCCGTGCGCCGGCGTGTGTTTTGGCCTGTGTCTGGGTATGCGCGCCCGTCCAGGCGCGGAGGGGGAGGTGCCTGGTCTTCTCTTGTCTTCCGGCACAAATACAATTCTCCCCCCTCTCCAGCCACGCACCGCGGTGCGTGTAGTGCGTTGGAAAAGGAAGCGGCCGCGGGTCCGTCCGGGCTCTGCAGGCGTGCTTCGCCAATCATGTCTGGCATGTGCATGCACGCGCGCACGCGCATGTGGGATCGGCAGGCAGCGACAGGGGGGGGGGGCCGGAAGGGGGCGGCGTTCACGGGCGGCTCCCCGGGGACAAAGCCGGGGAAATATATGCCCCCGAGACGATGTTCGTCCTAACAATAGCCTGTTTAGCTCAGTTGGTAGAGCATGGGACTCTTAATCCCAGGGTCGTGGGTTCGAGCCCCACAGTGGGCTACTCTTTTGCCCACCTGAGCAATGTCCCCGGAGCTCGAAAGACCGGTCCAATATAAGACCACCTGGGCTGCACGTACCTCAGTCCGAATGATGTAGATGGTTATCATATCTGTCTAACACACAGAATGTCCCAGGTTCGAGTCCTGGTTCGGACAGGCCTTCTTTTTCTTTCGTGGCCGCTTTTTCTCTGGTTCTCTCGGTCGCTGTCCTCCGGGTGTGGTCCTTTCTCTGGGCTTGTTGAGGAGGGGGGACAGGGACGCCCGGTCATGTCGAACGCACATGAATGTCATTCGGGTGTCATCTGACACCGAAGCTCCCATATAGTCTAGGTGGTTAGGATACGTGGCTCTCACCCACGAGACCCGGGTTCGAGTCCCGGTATGGGAATTCCTTTTTAGCACCCACTGGACGCTTAATCCGCAGTCGCGGAGAACACCATTCACGTAACTGGAAACCGCGGCGGCGGCGCGCCCCCGCGCGTACGCGCTGGTCTTCCTGGCGCTTGGCGGGCGCCGGGGAGGAATGGGGGGCGGCGGGCGTGAGGGGACAACGGTGCGGGGTGGGGGGGGGGCCGCGCACGTCCTGCTTGCAGCGGCGAGGCGTGGCGGAGTTGTCTTGCGGCCCGAAGGGTGGTTTTTATTTTTTCACGCACCGCTTCCCCGGCGCCAGTCCCTGCGGTCACTGGCCCTTGGATGCGGCGGGCATCAGATGGGGGGGGGGGTATGTACGCGTCGGAGGAGCAGCGCGGGGGGGGGCGGGGAGGATTTCTGCTGGCCCTGATGCGGCGGCGGTCCGTGTCGACTTGCGGTGCGGACGGAAAAAAAAATAGCGCGAGGCACGGGCGCCGCCGGCCTGCGCACACGCCCCGACAACGCACCCTGGCCCGGGGGGGGGGGGGGGGTCGCCGCCGGGCGTCGGGACTCACCAGGGGCGGGGGAGGTAGATGCGGCGGGCCTTGGGCGTGGAGCGCGCAGGCAGCTCCCACCGGAGCCGGTCTGCCCGCCGGGGCGACCCCGGAGCGGAAGGAAGAGGCCCACGCCGGGGCGTGTGGGCGCGACCGGGCACCCCCCGTCCCGGGGGGGGGGGGGGGGGGGGGCCGGGTCGCCTCGCCCCGGGCGGCCCGGCCCGGCGGTCAAGGACGGGGGCGAGCGCGCCGAAAGGGGAGCGCCCTTCGGTGCAGCTTGGCGCCATCGGCCTAGAGACCGACTGGTCGCACGGTGCCGGCCGGCGCGGTCGTCATTGGCTGGCAAGGTGTCACACGCCGTGCTCAGGCCCCCGGGGGCTCTTCTTGCCGCCGGCCTGGGCCGGGGCGAGCGCGACGCGCTGGGAGAGCGGGGCGGGGGGCATGGCGCGGATGTGCCCCGCAAAAAAGCATCATAGCGTGGAGCACCCCCCTGCCAGGCCGGGGATGCCGAAGAGGCCGGGCCTCCTCCCGCTCGACGCCCCGGCATGCGGGGGCACAAATCTAAATATTCCTCTCCCCGCCCCGCCCCCCGCCGTGCGCGCGCGCGCCAGCCGCCGGTTGACACGTCGAGGAGCCAGGCGCCCGGGCCGGGGCGCCCCAGCTGGGCCGGGAAGCGGCGCGCGGCGTATGCACGCGCAGGCCCGCGTTGCCCCCTCGAACGTGGGAAAGAGAGATGGCTTCCGGCCGGCTCGATTATTATTGTTTTCCCCTTCTCGCCCGGCGGCCGTGCGTGCGGCGTGCGGCGTGCGTGGCCTGTGCGCGGCCCGGGGCGAGGGCGGTGGCGCCGGCGCCGGCCGATGCCCAGTCTGATCGGCCGTCCCCCCCGCCCCCCCGCCCCCAGGGAGCCGACGCCTCTGTTTGGTGCTCCCCCTTGCCCTGGCGCCCGGCGCCCGTCTGCAGGTCCACAACAGGAGAACCACCTGCGCCGGCCCTCCGGCCCCCCCAGCGCGCCGATGAGGAAAATAGCCCGGGCCTGCGGACCGCCGTGCCCGCGGCCCGGTGGCGGATGACGCGATTCGTCGCCAGCAGCGACAGCCGCCGGGTGAAGCCATGCGCCCGAGGCCCCGCCCGTCCGCCCG